TTTTTTTTTTTTTTTTTTCAGTTTCAGTATCATTTTACAGTGCAATGTTGTTTTGGGGAAAATTCTGTTTCGGAATCTGTAAATGTTGGCTTACATGACATTGAGATGGAAATTTTTGGATCTGAAAATCGGTTGAAAATTGATCGTTTTGAAGTGTTTGTTTAATTTAATTTCATGGGTTTGTTCCTCGTATGGTTTTTGTGAAGGCGTAAGTTAGAATGCTCAACTTTTGCTTTTGTGTTCTGTTTGGGTAGTGATCTTTTAGGTTGTGCTAATTTACTCTGGTGTGTAATGTTTGTAGATGATGAAGTTGGGGAAGCGTATCCAACATTTGAGACAAATTCTTTATGGAGACAGTCAATCCGAACCGCTTTCAGATGCTTGTGTGCAGTTGACACAAGAGTTTTTCAGAGAGGATACCCTTCGTCTGCTTATCGAATGTCTTCCCAAGTTGAACTTAGAGGTAATTATGGAGAATTCAACATTGCCCGATTTCGCCTTATGCGCTTTACTTAATGAATTGAACTATTCTTTTGGGGTCTGAAATGTATTGTGTTATGCCGTGCTAGTTCCTTACCGTGGTAATTAAACGATGAATGTGACGGGTAGTGAGTTAAACTTATGCAGACCCGCAAGGATGCTACTCAGATTGTAGCGAATCTGCAGAGGCAACAAGTTCAATGTAGGCTGATTGCTTGTGATTACTTGGAAAAGAACTTGGACCTCATGGATGTTCTCATAGCAGGGTGAGGTTGCAATGAAAGATTTTTCACTGAACTTCTGATTGTTGAAATTTTTTAATTGTTTTGGAAGTTTCGAAAGCTGGATAACTTATGTTCCACTGACATAGAGGTTTTTGGTATTTGAAGACATTTTAATGCCAAAATGATGTTGTAGCCCACCAAAAAAGAATTTAGGAACCCTTCATTTCCTTGTGAAAGTCAATTAGCTTGTGCAATTGTGAAGGAGGGGCAGATACTGGAGATTAGACTCTCACTTTCTAATTATGTGTTTGGCTCGATTAGCACTTGAATATCTCAAATATAAACCTTGCTCGAGAAAGTTGGATAATGATTTAACTTTAAAATCTAAAACCTAATTATATTATGACCTTTTCCTTTCTTATTTCTTTTGTGAACCTTTTTCTTTTTGGCTGCCAGTTATGTGAACACTGATTTTGCATTACATTATGGTGCAATGTTGAGAGAATGCATACGCCATCAAAGTGTAGCAAGGTCAGTCGATTTTCCATATTCATTTTCCTTCTTCTATTGCATGATTTAAAAGTTTCAGAAGCTATTTTTATTGGAGGAATATTGATTTGATGCTCCATCCAAGTGAAACAAGATTAATTTCGCTCCAGGAAAATTTATAATTGAAAGTGAGGCAATAAATTAGACTAACTACGTTTGTTGCTAAACCTTTTAGAGCCTTTACTTGTCTATTTAGTTTCACTTCTAACTAGCTATTATGGATGTAGATAATGTGGCAATTTTGAGTCATGTAGTGGGGGTATGAATCCGTAACGTGCCTTTTTTATTAGGTATTACTGCATCAGATTATAGTGAATTAATGTGGATGTTTGAAAAAAGAATCTGTTTGATCTGTAGGTATGTGTTACAGTCGGAGCATATGAAGAACTTTTTTTACTTTATACAGCTCCCGTATTTCGACATTGCTTCGGATGCAGCTGCCACTTTCAAGGTCATATAATTCACAAATATTGAGATGATTACTATTCAACTGCCCATTTGCTTTTCAACGTAGGCAGTTGACTTTCTTTTGCCATATGTCTGCAAACTTTTATGGATGTTCTCTTTCAAATTTATTTCTTTTTTCAGTGAACATTATCTGGAATACTTCTGAATGTCAAAATCATTAGGACTAAGCGTTCTGATTTTCCTTTTATTAACGATGTTTCAGAGAACAAAATCAAGTCATTTTGGCAACCTAAGTCGAAGGAATTGTTTATCAGTAGTATATAGAGAATAATATAATTTTGATTGCTTAACAGAAGAAGCCATGGGTATTTAGATTATTATCTTTTATTCTTTTCCTTTCTTGCAGATGCATTGTGGTGTCTTTTCTGCCTTGGACTGGTGCTGATATAATTTAATTTGCACATCTTTTTTGCAGGAACTATTGACTCGGCACAAATCAACTGTTGCTGATTTTCTCTCTAATAATTACGGCTGGGTCAGTGTTTTTCTTCGACGTTACTGTGTGTTTCTTCACACAATTTGATTTTATTCAAAAAAAATTCACATTAGAATGCGCCCTTTTTTTGAAGAGATTATGATCAAAATTATGTTTGTTTGTACTCCCGACATGTTTTGTTATTAATATCTTTTCCTTCTATAAGCTCCATTAAAAGATTGAAATGTTGCACTGGGTAGTAAGTGCTATTTCAGAGTACCTGGATAAACCCCATTTCCCTAATATGCTGTATAGTTTTTCTCTCGATAGTTCTTTTCAGAGTACAACTCGAAACTGCTTGAATCAAGCAATTATATCACTAGAAGGCATTCTGTCAAGGTAATGCCTCACCAGTTCATCTCCTTTTGTTTCTTTCTATTTGAGACAATCGACTTTGTGAAAAGAATATCACATGTTCAACTTATATTATTATTTTGCATTGTTACGCATAATTCATTCATTTTGCATGCACGATTTACTTGTGTTTCAGCTGTTGGGTGATATCTTGCTTGATCGGTCAAATTCGGCTGTGATGACTCGATATGTTAGCTCGAGGGACAACCTCAGGATCCTCATGAATCTTCTCAGAGTATGATTTCCTTTTGGCTGTTATTTTTTAACCTCCTTCCAGTTATTGCCCGTGTAACAGTGTAAGTGCAGAAAGTAAACTAAAGAGTTATTGATAAGAGGAAAAAGTAATGCTAACTTAAATATGCATGCCGACTCTCTTTCGAAAAAACTAGAAAATACGACACTATGATTAAGTGTGTGCGCGTTGTGAATTTTTCTTTCTTACAGGAATCGAGCAAGAGCATTCAGGTAGAAGCATTCCATGTTTTCAAGGTGATGGAATTCTACTTCCAAATCTAAAAATCTATCGTAAAAATTGGTGAATTCGTTTTAATGTGTCTCGTGATTTCATCTAAACTAAAGCACGAATTTGTCCCAGTTATTTGTAGCCAATCAGAATAAACCCCCAGAGGTCCTTAATGTCCTCGTAGCCAATAGGAGCAAACTTCTTCGCCTTTTTGCCGATTTTACGACAGATAAAGGTAGCGAACGATATAATACATAAATGCACACATGCGTATAAAATACTATAATCCTTTTCATTCTCAATTCCCCATGTGTTCAGTATCTGGTTTGGTATGGTTGCAGAAGACGAACAGTTTGAGGCCGATAAATCGCTAGTCATCGATGAAATTGCTCAACTTGAGCCCAGAGAGCAACCTTGAAACATTCAGTTCCAAATTTATGTAAACATCTTTTGTGACAGTGTTGTACAATAATTTCTAGCTGCTCATTATTTTTTTTTTATTATTTTATTTTTCGTTTGTCCTTATATAAGAATCAGTTTCCAGGCAGGATACCGTGAGTAATAGATTAGAGGGCTTTGGGAATTTCTAATTCAGTATACTGTGTTGGGCAGACGTAACGGTTAAACAATATTTTATTTCAACATATGTAAATTACCTTTTAACAGCTTGTTGATTGATTGATTAATTTATATATGTAAAGTACTTTTTAACTTATATTTCATACTCTAAATAATAATATAAACAAAAGTAATACATTTTTATTTTTGTTAAAAAAAAGTATAAGGGGTCGACTTGTCTAACCGTCAGACTGTCTTACATAAGAAATTGTAGACTGACCTACATTAGAAATTATGTTTCTCATTGTGATTCTTAATAATATGAAAAGTTTATATATATAAACATTCCAGTCTGGGATGGGGGTTGAGGCTACACCCTCGACTTGTGAATATAATGACCCAGAGAGGGCTAAAAAGTCAAGGGTCTACATCAATGTCGAAAGTACATAGAACATCAGCAAAACAGAAAACCAAAAAGTACAAGGATAAAAAATATCCGATGTGGATCTAAAGTCAAGTCCTCATGAAAGGTCGTCCTGGTCAAGGTTGTTGGGTTTTGCTCTTTGTCCCACATCGATTGTGGAATGAAAGAGAGGGAGATTTTTCTCCTATATAAGAAAGTGCTACTTCTTATATAAAATCATCCCACAGAGTTNNNNGTAATGAAAAGTTTCTGAATAAGGATTGCTTAGTAAGAAGAAAAAGTGTGAAAGAAATAAAATCTTGCAATTATTTTTCTCTCACTACCTATTCCAATCTCTTTTTTCTTGGTAACCCTCGCCGCTTCTCTCTCGTGCTAGCCTCTCTTCCGTTTGCGTCGGCCTTCGACGCGGCGCCGCTCCTCATTGGGGGCAACGAGCCTCCTTCTCAGGCGTCCCCTGCAGCCCAGCGCAGCGTGTCTCCTCTCCCAGAAGCCATGGCAGTGCTGAGGTGGGGTTCTGGCGTTTTCTCGGTGGTTTCGTGATCCCAAACATCGTCAGCTGCCCTGGGCCGGACGGTGGCTATCGTGCTCTCCCCGAGCACCCCCAGGACCTCCCGTCTCCTGGTGCTGGGGCGGGTGGTTTGACGGTTGAAGTGGAGGGTTTGCCGGAGGTGATGATCGACTGCTTTCGACCGGTTTGGTGTTGGTGAGCTTCTCCGGCTTGGGCTTTCGTTGAGGAGTGCAAAGTGGCTCTGGTTGACGGAAATTTGGCTAATTTAAGTCTGAGTTTAGTTAAGCCTCTGTTACAATTTCTAAATTTGGGTTGAGTCGTGTAATCGTGTTTTTGTTTTCCACTCAGAGCAGTTCGCACGTGTGACACTGTTGTTGCTGGTGGTAGTAGAGGGCCTTATCCCCCCCCTTTATATAAATTCAAAACGTGCTGAGCCTAAATGGCTGGCTCGCACGCTTCGGAAGCTTACTTGGCAACATTATATGCTTCGGAAGTTTGGTTCGGATAAAGGTT